CCCCCCCCCCCCCCCTCCAAATTAAAAAGTAGCCTTCAATTGAAATACAAAGTCTTTGATGGCTATTTAGGTCTATATTAATGCACCTCAAATTATATCAAAATCTCAGGCAGTGGAGCATTTATGGTTTCTAACAAAACAAGGTAAATTAAGCGAATCAAAATAAATAAAACTGCTCCAAATAGAGTGAGCTGAGATGATGGAGGAAAAAACCTCGCAACTTTGTACAACAAAATTTAAGACAATAAAACAAGCAGAGCAACCACAGTCCACATGTATCCTCCAAGCAACTTTTGCCAAACGTATGAAACAACTTATTTTTATTGTCTTGTAAATAACTTTTAAGGGTAGCCATTTAATCAGTATTTTTTATCAAATACACCAATTTTATGTTTATTGTCAGTTTAAGCACGGCTATCTAAACATGTATGACAATCGTATACATCAAATTGTATTGAGCTCTTAAAAGTGGTTTTTAATATTCGGTACTTTTCAACTACTTTCAATCAATAAAATCAAATAGGCAGAGCGGCATGAAATGAAATGAAAATTTTGGAAATTTTTGCTGAACTTTTTATAAATAATAATCATTCCTTTAATTAGTTATGTCCCTGGTGCAAGTTAGATTGGTCAAAAGACAAAAAGGAACCTCTCTACTATCCTATATAATTTATTATCACTATTCATTATACTATTGGCTCAAAAGAATCGATCTGTTCTACTATTAATCAGAAATACTCTCTGGTTAATGGAGGTGCCATGGGGAGGCTATTTAAGCCATTTGGGTCATCCTGGTTTATTTCTAGAGTGACACGACCCAATACCTGGTACCCAATCCAAAAACTTATCCTTTTTCATTCCAGACGGCCAATCAAAATTCTAACTGTTAGCCTACTCTATTTCCTTCTTCCTTTTCTCTATCTATTCCATTTAATGTCAAATCCATCAACAAATCTCTCCCTAAAGAAGAAAAGGAAAAAAACAAGAAAGAGAAAAAGGGTAGCTATAGAGGTGGGCCAAAGGGATGGGAGAGGGGAGAAGTTTTATTGTGTGTCTCACACAACTTACATTAGTAGTATGAGGCTCTTTTTTGTCTCACAAATTTGTGGACCCCAATCTTACACTTCTCGGTCCATAAAAATCTGGGTCCACAAAACTGTGAGACAAACAAGATACCTCATATAACTAGTGTCAGTTGTATGAGACAAAAAATAAAATTCTCGAAGCTTCTTGTTCGTATCTCTCATCAAAAGGTGCTATTCGATAATGTCTGTCTAGCAGACTCCCTGCTAACCCTAGTGAACATTCAAATATCTGTCCTACATTCATTCTTGAAGGTACTCCTAATGGGTTAAAGACCATATCAACGGATCTTCCATCTTGTAAATAAGGCATATCTTGTCTAGGCAAAATTTTGGAAACGATACCTTTATTTCCGTGTCTTCCAGCTACTTTATCGCCTACTTTGATTTCACGTTTCTGTAAAATATATACACAAATCGTTTCGGGATTATAACTAGAACCACCCCTTTTCTGGATCCACCTCACATCAATAACCCGACCCCTGCCACCTATAGGTATTTTTAGACAAGTTTCTTTTGAAGTAGATACCTGAATACCAAGTATAGCTCGTAACAATCTATCTTCCGGGGCATACGACGATTCTTTCACGACCTGGGGTGTTAATTTACCTACTAAAATATCACTCGTCTCTACCCAAGATCCCAGCATCACAATTCCATTTTTATCTAAATTGCGGAGTAAATGGGCTTCTAAATGCGGTATTTCATTAGTTACTTTTTCAGGGCCTTGGCTTGTCAAATGAGTCTGAATTTCATATTTCCGTATGTGAAAAGAAGTATAAATATCTTCATATACCAAACGTAAAATTTTTGGAGAGACGGGATGGTGCAAAAGAGGTGATGGTGAAAACCTGACCTTATATTCTACTTTAATTTACTGCTGGTTTAAAAATAAAAGGCAAAAGATTTTAAAGTCAAATTAAAACTCTAACAAACACCCTATAAGTGAGATTAGTTGATTTTTATCAATGGGTTTACTTTTGTAATTTGCCTGCGCAAAATAAAAAAGTAATACAATAAGCGAAATTATCTGCAATACCGTCAAAAGCATAAACGAAGTAAATACTTTGTACAGTGTAAAAGAAATAGCTTAACCGCTTTACCTAGCATCAATTATCTCGACAACNAACCATGACATATTTGCTTACTTGAACATAATTTCTTTCCACGAAAAGAAAGGAAATGGTTCATTCCACAAAATAAAAAGCTTTTTTTACGAGGTACAAATAGAAATTCCTCTTTATTTGATTTGTTACGAAATCGACCATGGATCAATTCCCTTTTTATTTGGGAGTATTGACTACACCCCAATTCTGAGCTTCATGTTACTCTTTCCAAGTGACATGTCAGGTCCAGGGCATCCCAATTGGATTGGCTGGGATGACAGTTTCTCCTTCCGAGTCTGTAAAATCAGAATT